CGATGTGAGATTTATTCCCTTCACATGTTCCCGCAAGATGGTGACTCTTTTTGAGCAAACCAATCTTGAAATTCGTGTGCTCATTTTTTAGACTTAATCGGATCGAATAACTCGTTGGAGCTTATTGGGTTCTGATACAATATTAAAACTTGGGGTCCATCTTAATAAGGTCAACCTTATTAAGAGGAGTGGCCCAAAATCTATTTAAGTTGGTCAATATTTCGGTATTTAACCGATGTAGGATTTATTCCCTTAACATGTTAAGATTTGGGGTCCATCTTAATAAGGTCAACCTTATTAAGAAGAGTGGCACAGGATCTATTTAAGTTGATCAATATTTCGATATTTAATCAATGTGGGATTTATTTCCTTAACATGCCCCCGCAAGATGGTAGCTCTTTTTGAGCAAACCAATCTTGAAATTCGTATGCTCATTTTTTAGACTTAATCGAATCGAATAGCTCGTTGGAGCTTATTGTGCTTTGAAACCATGTTAAGATTTAGGGTCCATCTTAATAAGGTTGACCTTATTAAGAGGAGTGGACCATGATATATTTAAATTGGTCAATATTTCGATATTTAACCGATGTGAGATTTATTCCCTTAACACATGTATCTAGACATTCTCGTTAATTAAGTAAACTTGATGAGTTTCTGATATATATAGATAATTTATTCCATGTTTGGTAAATATTAAAATTTAGATTTTAATTTAAGTCAAAGTCGACAATTAATTTTAACTACATTTCATAGAATCCATAATTTTTCAATCACTCATTTCATCAACTTTATTAAAATAAGTTAAAACTCAAATTTTAATTCTCATCAAACAAGAAATTAATCTCGTCGGTTAAATTTACCTAGATTGATTAGGGGATATAAAATGCACTATAATTATTTTTGTTAAAGATTTACGCCGCTCAACAACTATTCATCACATTCCTAATATATATTAACTTCTTGTTAATTCGTTAGAGTAGGCTTATTTTACACAAACATAATGGGTCCCGTATCCTGCAGAGCACTTTAGATAATAAAGATAAGTTACTTATTTTTATTTTTTTTAAAATCTTAATTTATGATTAAAATTTTTTTATTTACAAAAAAAATTTACTTAAATATTAATTTTATTTTTTTTAATCAAAAATCACTTGTACACATGCAGGGGTGGCAAATGGGCCAAGTGGCTCGTCAGCTCGCCCGCTCAATTTGCGAAAACGGAGCTCGTGGGCGACTCGGACTCGTAAAAACACAAGTCTGAGCCCGAGAGCGAGCCGAGCGGGCCGGTTCAGTGGGCAAGCTGAGCGAGCAGGTTCAATGGGCGAGCCAAGCCCACTCGGTTCGCACAAAAAACGAGCCGAGCTCGTGGCTCGTTCCAAATGAGCCACGAGCTGGGCTCGTTTTCGAAAGTGATCGTTACGTTCACTGACTTTTGTCAGTGATCATTTCTGTCCCTGAATTTTATTTATTTTTATTGTTAACGGTCATTGAATTTTTTTAGTGACCGTTTTGGTCCTTACATTTTTTAATTTTTTTCCTTTTCTTTTTCTAGAAATAGTGGCATTTGGCCACAAAATTTTCTGCAATTCACTCTCAACTCTCTTGTGTTGTGTTGATAGTTTTGCAATTTTTATATACAATTTATACAATATTCAATTCTCATTTCTCAGTTCTCACTATATTTATTGAAATTTCATCCAATTTTCATTTCTCACTACATTTATACAATTATTCTTTTACTAGTTATTACTTATTACAATTAAACAAATAGATCCACGCGCATTTGTCGAAAATTTGTTCAGTGTGGGAGGAAATGAATCGCTTATGACAACGCAAAATCAATTTCATAATTAATTTGAAAGTCTAAATGACGTACCTCTACCTAAAGATATTCCAGATTTGGATTTTCATCATCATGTAAGCGGCAATCCAAATTATCCAATTAATTTGGATGATGTTGACTTTCCCGAAGCGGAATACGATCAGGAAGAAGAGGCTGAATTAAACATTCTTGATGCGAGGGAAAGCGAAAGGGGAAAAAACAAGCAAAATGTTGGAATCACTTTAAGTTGATTTCACCGGGAAAAATCGTCAATGGAGTTCAAGAATCTAAAGCAGTATGTAAATACTGTCAACAAAGATTGGTATGACAAAGAGGAATTGGTACCACCCATCTCAACCGTCATTACAAAGTATGTGCGGCCAAACACGGACTTATTTCAGGCTGTCAAACACAATTGCAATTTGGCAGTCCAGAAGCCGGTGGTTCTGTTGCACCCCTATCCACATGGGTGTATTCGGAGGAAAAAGTTCGAACCGGAATGGTGAAACTTGTTGCTGATGCTGAGTTGCCTTTGGCATTAATTGACAACCAACACTATGTCTCGTATGTGAAATAATATCTCCAGTCATGGTACGTTGGGGTAAGTCGAAACACTCTTCGTTCTGATATAATGCAATATTTTACTTTAACAAAATAACAATTAATTATGAATTTGCAAAAATATAGGGATGTCATATCTTTAACTTCGAATATATGGGAAGGTATTAATAAAAGAGTATATATAGCTGCAACTGCACATTATATAGACCCACTTTGGTGCATGTATAAAAAAATTATTGCTTTTAGAATTATTGAGTTTCCTCACAACGCTAATAATATATTTAATGTTATTATTAGTATTGTTAGAGAATATCATTGCGAAAGTAAATTCGTTCATTTACTTTCGATAATGCTAGTGTTAATAAAGTAGTTGCCGATAAATTGTATAGGGTACTGCAACCTGATTTTAGTGGGTATTTGTTTCATATTCATTGTGTATGTCATATTTTGAATTTAATTGTCCAAGATGGTTTAAAACATATAAAGTATGAATTTCAAAATATTAGGAACGCACTAATATATATCACAATCTCCCCAAATAGAAAACAAGTATTTGAGGATTATTGTGCCGAAATAGAAGTGCAAAATACTAAAACATTTGTTAGCGACGTAGGTCATAGGTGGAACCCTACTTACTTATTATTAAAGTCATGTGAAGGTTTTGAACATTTAATAACTGACTTTTATAACAATAGACATGTTAGAAGTGATGACGAGGTATGTTGATTGAAAGTGATCGGCAAATAACTTTGAAAGTTAAAAGATTTTTGACATTTTTTTATGAAACCACAAAGATTTTATCGGACGTTTACTATCCCACCAGTTGTATGTTGTTTGAACGTTTTTATATAATTGCAAGAACATTTCATAAATACAAAAATGACCCTAATTTTAGTGAAAGTATAATTGCTATGGAATTAAAATTTAGAAAATATAGGAAAGATTTGCCTATATTATTTCCTTTAACATGCGTGATAGACCCCCCGATATAATTTATCGGGAATTAAATATATAATTGATCAAATTTCAAACGCATTAACATTTGATACACCTATCATATATAGAAATTTAGAGCAAACATTATGTGAAATGTATGAATTATATGCGAACCGAATAGGTACCAATATTAGTCGGTACCATCTGCACCTATTCTTTCCGTTGAAATTGAAGAAAAAGATACGGAAATATTTAATTTATTTCAAGGTATTAATTCATATAAATATGATTCATCTACTACCACTGCCATGTCATCACCATCTATATCTCATTTTCATCAAACATCTACGAGTTCAAGCCATAATGCATTGCCTGCTGAATTAATTGATTATTTCAACCAGAATATGCCAATAGATAAAACAATTAAAAAAAGTTCAGACGAAGTAATTGAATTCTGGCGAAGGTATGAACGACGTTGGTCAATTATATTTGCAATTGCAAAAAATTTGTTGACACCTCCGGTTAGTATTGTTGCTTCGGAGTCTGCTTTTAGTACAGGTAAAAGAGTTTTGAGCGAGATCAGGAGTCGACTGAAAGAAGATATTTTAGAAGCGTTAATGTGCGTTAAGGATTGGTAGGATGCTCATTTTCGACTACAAGATAAATATGCCGAAATTACATGTTGTCAAGTAAGTGATATTTGGTTTAATTATATTAATGAAACTTTTCTTTTCTTATCGTTACTTTTAATTTTATTTAAAAAATTGTACACACTACAAAAAATTGTTCGTGTACAATTTTTAACTCCGCCTACTGAAAATTTAAATAGCCGGTCTCAAACCCGGATAAAGGAGGAGGGTTTATATTTTATCTATTTTAAAAAGAAAAAAATAAAAATTTCATTTTATTTTTTTCTATCTCTTTTAGTTTAAAAAAACAAAGAAATTTTTTTTCCCACTAATTTAATTAAATTTTTGTTAGTACTTGGTACTATTACTACTATATATCTACATTTTAATTTTTTTCTCGAACAATGCTGTGTGTACCTTTGCATATAATTTTCGAAGTAAATTTTTTCTCAAAATTGAAAGGGTAATCAAATGATTGCCCTTTCAATTGTCAAAAGTCTTTCACTTCGAAAATTATATATAATTTTCGAAGTGAAAGACTTCAATATAATTTTCGAAGTGAAGACTTCTAACAATTGAAAGAGCATTCAATTACCCTTTCAATTTTTAGAAAGAATTTACTTTGAAAATTATATCCAAGGGGACGCGCAGCGTTGCTTGAAAAAATAATTTTTAATACTGTTTTAAAGTTTTTTTAAAAATTTTACACGAATAAACAAACAAACAATACAATTTTTAACTCCGCCTACTCTAAATTTAAGTAGCCTGTCCCAAGCCAGGATAAAGAAGGAGGGTTTAAATTTTTTACCTAATTTTTTATATATAATTCACGATTTAAAAATTAAAAATATTTTTTTATTTTTCAATTTACCTATTTGTTTAAAAAAAAAAAAAAACACAACATCTGCTAGTGAGCCGAGCTCGACTCAGCTCGGCTCGTTTCAAAACGTGCACGAGCTCGCAGCTCGTGCTTTTATGGGCCGAGCCGCCATTAACACATGCCTCACGTTCAGATATTTTTCCCTCAAAGCATGCAGTTCTTCACTCCTGTCCAATTCTCTCTCCCGACACAAAAAAACACAAACAAGCACAGTGGTGTCGCCAATTTTTTTTTTTTTTTTATAAAAGTTGTTCTTCGTATGATCATATCAGTATATAAATTTTCTTTTTCTTCTTCTTCAAGGGTCAGTTCTTGCAAATAGAAGTGCACATTATTATAGAACTCTGAACTCTATATTTCTCAGATTTACAGTCACCGGCGACTCTTTTCCCGGTAATAAACCAGATCCTTTACTCTGTTTAACATGATCTTGCAAAAGATTTTTTTTGGCGCGAAAATGTCACTCACACGTTCACACACACATATTATGGATGAGTGTATTATGGTACAGCTGCTTATGCAGTCGAATGTGTTGATTTCTTAATGTTATGTGATTGATTCAAGATTTTAGATAGTTCAGTTATGTTCACAATAAATGCAAGTGAGCCTTTTCATTTTTCTCTCTTTTCAAGATTACTTTGAAGATGTTTGGCCCTCCTTAAAGGCAGCTTTATTTTAGTTGTTTTTCACAGCAGCAAGTCGAAAATNTTTTTTTTTTTTTTTTTTTTTTTTTCCGGAATTTGGAGGTTTCCATGGATCTAAATGGTAAAGCTCCAAAAACTGGTGGGGAAATAGGCTCGATGGAGAACAAGAAAACACCAGATGTCATTATCAATATTCCTGGAGATGAAAAAGGCTCGAAATCCTCAGTCCTTGATGCTTCGACTGATCAAAAATTTAAGCTTTCAGCAGATTCACCTCATAGAGTATCGAATGATTCGACTTTAAGTGCTCAAAACGCTGGACCAATGAATTACCCTTCACCAGAAAATCTGAAGTTCAGTTCAAACTCCAATAAGCCTCCAAAAATCCCAAAAACTAAGACTTTCACTAGGAGGACAACTTTTTCGAAGTCAGTTAAATCAAGATTTGGTGAACAACCTGTGCATATTGATAGTACTATGTTTGAAGAAAATGGAACATCTGTGCCAAATGTAATATCTTATCAGGGTTCGCCTATTATGAAATTTGATATTAATAATTCTAGTATTAAGGAGACTATCAAGACAACGTCCATGAGTTCAATGACATCTTTGAATTCATCGCGTGTCAATGAGGGTGAAGAGATATATAAGAGAGTGAGCAGTAGGAAGAAGTTGAACTATAGGAAAGTGAAAGCTAAAGTTTTGATCGAGTGGGTACTGTTTCTCTGCATCCTGGGTTTCTTGATTACTTGCTTAACTGTTAACAAGTTGCAACATTGGAAGGTTTGGGAGTTGGAAATTTGGAAATGGTGTGCGCTAGTTTTGGTGACCTTTAATGGAATGTCTGTTACAAAATGGTTTATTCATTTTGTTGTTGTGTTGATTGAGCTAAACTATTTGCTAAAAAGGAAAGTGTTGTACTTCGTTTATGGTCTGAGGAAGAGCGTTCAGGTGTGCATTTGGCTGAGTTTGGTTCTCATCACATGGGTTTTGCTATTCGAAGAAGGCATTGCCAGATCACATCCAGCAGAACGACTTTTGCATTGCATTACTTGGACTATTGCTTCACTACTGATTGGTTCATTCTTGTGGCTCCTGAAGACTTTACTGCTAAAGATTTTGGCATCTTCGTTCCATGTTAACACATTCTTTGATAGGATTCAGGAATCAATCTTCCATCAGTACATTTTATTCACTCTATCTGGTCCACCACTTATGGCTCAGACATTCGGTAAGACAAACAGTAATTTGAGTCAATTCAGTTTCCATGTGACGAAGAAGGGGAAAGAAGGTGGTAAGGAAAAGAAGAAAGAGGTGATTGATATCAACAAACTCCATCAAATGAAGCAAGAAAAAGTCTCGGCTTGGACCATGAAGATGTTAGTCGATATGATATCTAATTCCGGTCTGATCACTCTCACGAATGCTATTGATGAAAATGTCTACGATGGAGGTAATGAACAGATGGATAAGGAGATCACAAACGAGGAGGAGGCAATTGCTGCTGCATATCATATTTTCAGAAATGTAGCTGAGCCTGGATCCACGTGAGCAAATATGTCTTTCGAATATTTTCTTTAGCTTTAGTGGATGTTTGGTACTCAATATTGGATTGGTCGACAGTATAATAAACAAGACTTTTACTTTATTTTTTACCTTAATACTGCCCATTGCTATCTAATGCTCCATACCAAACATGCCATTAATGTATCAAGCTATCAACGCAAATGCATCCTATAATCGCTTACTACTATGGGCAGGTACATTGATGAACTGGACCTCCGGAGTTTCATGATTAAAGAAGAGGTGGACGTTGTATTCCCAATGATTGATGTGGCCGAGACAGGGCAGATCGACATGAAAACTTTGACGGAATGGGTGGTGTGTGAGATCTTTTCCCATTGTTGTTAATCGGAAAAATGGACTAATCTAATCTGTTTGTTCGATTTGTTGTTTCTCCTGAGACACGGCTGTTTTGACAATGCTTTCAAAAGCTTTAGTTTCCCTCTTACTTTTTTTTTCCTTTCGGTTTATTACTCTACCGGCCTTTTCATTTTATTTTTTCCAGTATTCACTCTTGCTACTTAAATCTTGAAGACGAATACTGCAGGTGAAGGTTTTCAAAGGTTAAGCTAATAGAAAAATATTAATTTATTTACATATAGTTTTCAACATGCAGGTGAAGGGTTTCAAAGGTCGGAAAGCACTGGCTCATGCTCTGAATGATACCAAAACTGCTGTAAAGCAATTGAACAAGCTCGTTACAGCGATCCTGATTGTTGTTATGATAATTGTGTGGCTTCTGTTGACAGGAATAGCGACAACCAAAGTTCTCGTCTTTCTCTCGTCACAGATTGTTCTGGCAGCTTTTATGTTTGGAAATGCATGCAAGACTCTATTTGAAGCTATTATCTTCGTATTTGTAATGCATCCTTTTGATGTTGGCGATCGTTGTGTAATTGATGGTGTTCAGGTAACTCTCATCGTATTTGGATTATACTTTCCTATGTTGATTTCTTTTCATTATTTCATTTTGTCTTACAGATGATTGTCGAAGAGATGAATATCTTGACGACCGTCTTTCTAAAATTTGATAATGAGAAAGTTTACTATCCAAATACTGTTTTGGCTACCAAACCGATCGGCAATTTCTATAGAAGTCCAGATATGGGTGATACGCTCGAGTTCTCCATTGATTTCAAGACACCGCTCGACAAAATTGGTGCCCTGAAAGAAAAAATAAAGAGGTAAGTTCCCTTAAAACTGACCTCTTCTCTCTTGATTTTTTTCTTCATATAATCAGCAATTAAAAGTTGACATTATTGATCATTGCTCTTTCTATTGTAACAAACTTTTATTTTATTTTATTTTATTTTATTTTCTCTCTCTCATACTGCATTCTTAATGGTCAGGTATTTGGAGAAAAGTCCCCAACAATGGCATCGAAATCATAATGTAGTAGTGAAGGAGATTGAAAATGTGAACAAGATTAAGATGGCTCTCTTTTTTAACCATACTATGAACTTTCAGGACATTGCAGAGAAGAGTAGACGCAAAACGGAACTGGTCCTCGAGATGAAGAAAATTTTTGAAGAGCTGAATATTAGATATGATCTCCTTCCTCAAGAAGTTCATTTAGTTGATCCGGGGACAATGACCAAAGGGCCGGATGGGCAGATGAGGCTGCAGCAGCCACCAACTTCTTATGCTTATTTCTAATAAAATAAGCCTCCGTGACCCCAAAAATGAATGATGGAAGCTTTGACAGCCTCTCACAGGCTACAAGCCTCGCGTGAATAAACAATTCCAAAAAAAAAATGTGGTCCCCACCCCCACTCTTCTGCCGGTTATTTTGGGTTAGTGTAGTGCAGTTGTATTTCTAAGCTAGGGAAATGGCCTACGTACAAGGAGTTTTGTACAGATGTTCTACAAGATAGACACATAGGGGTGGACTCCATATAAATATTTTATTGTAATGGACTCCATTGCTATGAGTATTATGTAAAACATCTGTAAAAAAAAATTCTGTAAATGTAGCATTACTCGCTTTGTGTCAAACTTTGATCCTGTCAAATCAAACTTAGATAAATTCTACATCATTTCGTATAATCTACCTCTTTTATCAATGTAAAATCCTCTCACGAGCATGTCAGATTTACAACACGGGCAGCATTACATGGAACTCTAGAACATATATATATATATATAAATAATCCTGTCAAATCAACTTGGATAAATTCTACATCATTTCGTATAATCTACCTCTTTTATCAATGTAAAATCCTCTCACGAGCATGTCAGATTTACAACACGGGCGGCATTACATGGAACTCTAGAATATGTGTGTGTGTGTGTTCGTATGTACTGTCTGAAGCCATAAGCTTCGAACAAAAAACAGTGACAAGGTTTTTCTTTTCAAGTAAATTTAACATCCTAAACGGCCAATTTTTCACGATCACGTGCACTGGAGAATCTTGGAGGGGAGCGGACAAACAAGTATAAAATTTACTCTCTGACTAACAATTCATAGGACAAATACGACTGGTTCATAACCAAGTAATTTTCATAGGAACAAGTTCACAAACCAGTCAAATGCTTAGAATTTCCCCTTTCCTACAATACGGAAGAGGATGACAATATAACTTCACCGAGAATGAATAAGTTATTATCCTAGTAAAACCGGGATCAGCAAACGATCCCCTCATTTGTTAGTGAAAGAGGTACAAGTGCCAGCCAACCTTCTCTCTTACGTATTTCCTTTTCCTTTTTTTTTTTTAAATATTGTTTTCCATCCTCAACATCAGACTTGCCATTGATGAAGAACTAAAAATCTGAATGATACAAGCAAACTAAGCTTGAATGAGTCACTGGTGAACGGCACAGAGGACATTCAGGCTTTTCGTTACACCATTCCATAATGCAATTCCTACAAAGGAAGAAAACAACTCAACATATCAGGCAACAGGAAGTGTAAATCAGCAATGAATACATATTTAAGTTAAAGAGAAGTGTGTATTAATGGAGTCCATACCAGCAAAATACATGACCACACGGTGTGGCTGTCGGATGTTGGCGAGTACTAAGGCAAAGAGTGCATTTGCCTATTCCACCAACTTGAAACTGAACATAACAATTATGCTAAAGTCATATTAGTAATTTGTAACACGATCTACTTAATGCTGGAACAAGACCTAATTTCTCTAAATTGAAATGGTAATACTGTAGCTTGCAATGATCACTTCGAGTGATTGGTAAACTTGGGAAAAGGTGACTTTTTAAGATGATGGAGACCAAGGAACAATATTTACCATCATTAAGTTTAAGCGTAACCTCAGCATCCAACAAGAAGGGCAAGTGCAATAATTCATACTAAAGACAACAGGACTGATGCTTGATTCACAATCATCTATTAATTTTTGGTATTATGTAATTACCTTAGCAATGTATAACTCGTATATGACTAGATCATAGTAACTTATCCCACTGGCACAGGTGCACGGAGAGAGACTCCGGGACTAGTGAGTTTCAGTAAAGGGTTATACCTCTGATGTAGATGTTGATTCAGAAATCCAATTATCCTTTCCAGAATCTTCACTTGTCACATTGCCATCTTCATTTATGACAGGTAAACCTCTCCCTGCCAAAATGCATATTGAGACAGATGCTGAGTAATTTGGTCAACTAACCAATAAAGAATCCCCAAATGTGAAAACATTGGCTTTCTAGACTAAGCTGAATTTAAAAGCCGTAGTGAAAACATTGTTATCAAAAAAATGCAGTGTTAAAACAATGACTTTATAGCATATGATGTCAAAAGCAATAAATAACCTGTGGGAGTTTGATGGGCTCCAACAGATGATTGCTGAAATGTATTTGTAAAGGAAGATATATTGCTTCGCCGCAATCCTTCAGCAGCAAGGATACATAGCTGTACTAGGAGGAAAACCCCCAATATTTGATATCTGCGCGAGAGAACTTTAGAGGCTACTTTTTCAACAACACCCATATAACAAAATAAAGCTATAATTTTACTTAAAATTGAAAAACAATGCCAAGGAATAATTGTCTACAACAACATAACTATATATCCCAATGTGATCTTCACATATCTTTATCATCGGATAATTGAATACACATGCTCAGCAAAATATAATCACATGAAAATGTAATTGTCGTCTTGCAATTTACAATGCCAGATCCTCATAGAACAATTGAAAAAGAATATATAATCAAAGTTTCACACATTTAGGCCAAATTGAGGGATTTTACGAAGGTATGGATCCTAATTCTTTCATCTAAATTAGTTCGGTGGTAAAAACTATGCCAAATGACTGGTTTGACACAGAGAAAATAATATACAGGAGAAAAGGTCCAACATAGGCATAGTTGAGGGATATTAAGTACACAAGAAACAATCCCAACGGGCACTCAACAAAGAAGCTCAGCCTGCTGAAACTCAATGCATGACTGTAAGGATGTCTAGTATGCATGCTGAAATTGATATGAAATGAGAGACGAAACAATGAAACAATGTTTTATATGCTCGATCTCCATCTGTCCAAATGTTGAAAATTATCATCACATATTAGGGTTTCCGCAAAACCCAACAAAACATAAAAGATTCCAATTTTCAGAACCAGAATGCAAAAAAATAAAAATAAAAAAAATGTGAATAATTAATTTTAGATAAGTTTTCCCATTTGCCAGAAAATGCATTAATGCTGCTAAATAAGCACCTAGGTCGTTGATTGGTTGGTTTTCCAATAAATACATAACGAATCCCAGCAGCTCGATTTGATATATGATAATATAAGCCTGTCATCACGAAAAATCACAAACTATTAAGAATTCACTAAATTATTGAGTATACCCACAAGGAATATGCAAAACACCAATTATTCACCTTCAAAATAAAAGAACATAAGGTTCGTCCGGAGAATCAGCATAAAAAGTTCACGGGCTAAAGGAAGCATCTGAAAAGAACATTATGAAAGATAAGTTGGCAAGAAGAGAAACTTCAAATAATAGAAACTATTTCCACGTACATTTATCCTTCCAACTATATATATATATATACACAAGCTAGCTCAATCAATATGTAATGGAAGAGAGCATACTGAGGGCCACCTCCGAACTGTATATAACCACAATCCAGTAATTTTGGTTTTCAATCTGGACAAAGCTGAAAGAGGACCTGTTGGTGCGGAGGTCAATGGAATTTGAATACTAGTGGACGACTGAGTTTGGCTGCTGTTATTCCCATAGGGATCATCCATTAGTGAATCAGCCATGGTGATACCCTGGGAAGCAATTCGTGAGCTGCAAACCAAATAAGCAAAAACTACTTTAAGTTGATAAGCACCTGAAGTTTCATATAACATAGAACCTACAGGATACAAGAAACAAAGTTCAGGCAAAAATTAAAGTAAAATGAAAAAGAACCTGACTCTTTCTGCAATGTATGGGAATGCTGTTTGATAAAAAATAAAAAGGGCACGCCTTGCAGGGGTTGGAGGAAGTCCATATGACCCTGCAACCTGTGAATTGAAAAACTAATATACTAAATCGCCAATGGTATGGAATAAATGCCAAATTCTTTTGTATTAATTCACATGTGCTTTTCTTAACAACATAATCTCGAAGTTTCAGATAGAAAGATTGTCCATCATCCATATCTCAAACAAAATCCAGAAGATAAGACTCGTGAAATCAACTTTGCAGCTGAACATTTGCTATAGACATAGTTTGATATCAATGATAAGTACATTTCGCCTCTTGTAATCGGCACAAGATTGTGCAATGCCATATTTCTAAAGAGGTGCAAAAATGATTAAGATTCAAAAACAACAAAAAATGATCACATAAATCATGAATGTATCATTGGAATGTTTTTGGTAGCTTTATCCTAAGTATAAACTATGACTTCCTTTTCAACATTGATTCTTTATCTTGAGTATATACACCTTGTACACGCACAATCTCTAGTACACATGCACAAAATATGCACAAAAATTGAGAAGCCTACCTGAGTAATGTCACAATATTCCTCTCCTAGTGTCTGCTTTCCAGCACCCGTAGTTAAGACATAGTAGAGCATCTGCCCCAAAAGTTTTGTCTGCAGAACAACAACCCATCACCCTCATATATTAGAACAAAAACCTAAATTTATCCACCATAATCTGTGGCAGCAAAAGAAAATAGTGCGGACACCAAAAAATCTTAAAATAATAAATACACCACATAAGGAGAGTTATTATCAGCTTCGATAAATTCTCAATCAAAATTCTAGCATTTATTATTCAACCAACTAGCTCAATTTCCAACTAATTTCAGATAAAGAGATTATGAATTCCTCAATCAGAGAAAACAAAAAATTAAATTATAAAAACCATTAACAGCAAAATATAGCCACTTTTTGTTTGTGAAACAGAGAAGATGTAGACCTCACTCTGATAGGCAACAGCAACTCGTGTACCTAAATGAGAATTTAAAAAAAAATTAAAAAAAATGAAATTCATTAAATAATTTTACATTTACACTATATCAAAGAATCCACATGTACAAAAATAAAAAATAAATAAAATAAATTGAGAGGGTGAACCGAAGAGGTGGCGGAAGGCGTCACGGCAAGCGTCATAGACGAATGAGGCGTATTGGTCGTCTTTTTCCGCAGCTCTCATAATTTCCGGCTGCGCAGCCAGAGGAAACCTCAGCACGCCGCCAGAGCCAGTGGAGGAGCTGCCACTAGGCCCCGCTTCGGCGTGACTAGTACTGGCGTCTCCGGTACCGGAAGTTGATTCTCTCAGTCCCATCCCCGCGCCCCAAAAATTCTCTCTCTCGTTACTGAAGAGATAGAACTTCTCTTCGAACTCGCAAAATGTTGTGAAATTCCCGATTTACCCTATCCAATATTAGCAACTCTTGCCTTCCTTTCTCTTTTCTTTCGTAAACCGTCTCGCACCACATTTTTTTAGGTGGAAATTGCAAGAAATGTCGACTTTCGCCCTATCATTTGTAAAAATGTTCAAAATTTATTTCATGTCCATTTTGCTAAAATTTAGACCAAAATGATCTTAATAACAATTTCAAATTCCACCATGAAAACAAAATTTTTCATATGATAATTATAAATGGTGTTAGCAAATAGAAATTTGACACATAATCTATACCATCTATTTGAAAAAGTACAAATATCTTCTCCCAAGGAATTGGTCAATAATCGCCGATTTTTTCATATTTTTTAGTTGGATTTTTTTTATGACAGGAAAATCCGCAATCTTTATCCTTCGAGTATAGACTGGGTAAACTCTCGGGCTGACGCAATAATATGCAAACCACGCTAACCAAGGAAACCACACTAGGTAAGTCCGGTGCGATAGGCTCAATCGAAAAAATATTGGTAGGGAGAATCGAACTCGTGACCAAAGGTTTCCGCCCTCACCTATTCCAACAACTAGACCACCCCATGAGGGGAGTTAGATTTTAATTGAACCAGATGAGGTTATGGGTTTAAATATGAAAAAAAATTCAAATCAGATTTTTACTTAAATTTTAGTTGGGTTCTCGTTGCTGTCTTTTGAAATGGTTTGGTTCAATTTGGATGGTTTGCCCATCAAACTCATCATAAACCACTAGACCCGACCCATGAACTTTATATAAAAAAAAAAAAATCAAAACAAAACAAAACAAACCAAAAGATCTTAAAACAACACAGCCTCGTGTGAAAGAAGCAACCAAAAATTTTAAAGCCATAATCTCTCTCTCAACTCCAAAATTTATCCACCTAAATCTCTCACGCCTATTGCCATTTTTTAGTCGCTCGCACTCTAGCCTTTTAGTGGTGAATATCCTCCATCTTTTGCTTGAATCCCACAGAAGTACTCGTTATTGATGGTTGGTTCTTGACTTTTTTTAAATAACTTCGTTGTTTCTTTAATTTTTTTCATGAATTTTTCATTATTTATGTGTTCCATTGTTGATTAATGTGTTCAATATTGTACATTATTCATTACATTTTTCAATGGTCAAATTTGATATTTTTTCTTCATTTGTTGAAATGTGTTGTTTTATGTTTTCTAAACATGTTATAGATAAGCAAAATCTCTGCCCAGGTTTCTTGGATGATTAACTTCACTACTTTTGAACTTTTTTCTATGTATTCATGAAACCATTTTTCACCCACTGGCAATTTGAGTTTTTGAACAAGAAGGGTCAACTAAGTATGAGAGGATCGTAGGAGGGATGAAACGT